GAGCAGGCGGGAGCGGTGGTAGCACCGCAACCAGCACCAGAGCAGGCAGGGGCAGAGCCGGTAGGCTGGGGCTGCTGGACCATGGGGGTGCCGACGGAAGCAGTAGCCTCGGCGCCGCAGTCAGCGCCAGAGCAGGCGGGAGCGGTGGTAGCACCGCAACCAGCACCAGAGCAGGCAGGGGCAGAGCCGGTAGGCTGGGGCTGCTGGACCATGGGGGTGCCGACGGAAGCAGTAGCCTCAGCGCCGCAGTCAGCACCAGAGCAAGCGGGGGCAGAGCCAGCGGGAGCAGAGCCGGTGGGCTGGGGCTGCTGGACCATGGGCGTGCCAACAGAAGCAGTGTCAGTGTTGGTGTTGGTCAGCGTCGTGTGGCCGAAGACGGTGCTGACCGTCTTGGAGCGCGCGGGGCAGCTGGTGACTTCGGGCGGGCAGTCGAGGATCGTGCTGACCTGGGTGGTGAAGACGGTGGAGGGGCCCTGGGGGGCGGGAGCGGAGGGCGCGGGAGCAGAGCACTCGGCGCCGGAGCAGCCGGCGGCAGAGACCGCGGGAGCGGAAGGAGCGGGAGCCGAGGCAGCAGGAGCCGAAGGAGCAGGAGCCGAAGGAGCGGGGCCAGAGGCAACGGGGGCAGAGGCAGGGCCGGAAGGAGCGGAGCACTCGGCGCCAGAGCAAGCGGGAGCGGAAGCAGCAGGAGCCGAAGGAGCAGGGGCAGAGGCAACGGGAGCAGAGGCAGGGCCGGAAGGAGCGGAGCACTCGGCACCAGAGCAAGCGGGAGCCGAAGGCGCAGGAGCCGAGGGAGCAGGGCCAGAGGTCAGGCCAACAACCGAAGACTCCGGGACGCCAGGGACGGCCGGGCCCGTAGACTGGACGACGGAGGTGACGGCCGAGGGCGTCTTCTCGTGGGACGGGCAGTTGGTGACCTCGGGCGGGCAGTCGAGGATCGTGCTGACCTGCGTCTGGTACACGGTGCTGGGGCCCTGGGGAGCCGGGGCGGAGGGCGCGGGGCCGGAAGGAGCGGGGCCCGAAGCAGCGGGAGCCGAAGGAGCAGGAGCCGAGGGCGCGGGGCCGGAGGCAACGGGCGCAGAGGCGGGGCCGGAAGGAGCGGGAGCCGAGGCAGCGGGAGCCGAAGGAGCGGGGGCAGAGGTCAGGCCGACAACGTCGGACGACGCGGCCGGGACCTCAGGGGCGGGAGCCGAGGGGGCGGGAGCCGAGGGGGCGCCACCAGCAGGCGAAGTGACCGGGACGACGGAAGTGACGGCCTTGGGGGTCTTCTCGTGGGACGGGCAGTTGGTGACCTCAGGCGGGCAGTCGTAGATGGTCGAGACCTGCGTCTGGTAGACGGTGCTGGGGCCCTGAGGCGCGGGAGCCGAGGGAGCAGGCGCGGACGTGAGCCCGGCGACCGACGAGGTCTGCTCGAGCGGCGTGCCGACGGCGACGGAGGGGGTGGACGACGCAACCGGGGCCGACGACTGCTCGAGAGGCGTGCCGACGGCGGTGGAGGGCGCGGGCGTCTTCTCCGCCTCGGACACCGGGCACACGGTCGTGTACTTAGGAACGACGGAGGTGACGACCTCGGGCGTCTTCTCGTGCGCCGGGCAGTCGGTCACCGTTGACGCGCACTTGGTGACGGTGTGCAGCTGCGTCTCGTAGACGACGGAAGTCGTCATCGGGGTCGACGAGGTCAGGCCCTGGACGTCGGAGCTGGCGGCGCTGGGCTCGGGGGTCTGGTAGAGAGGAGTGCCGACGGCGACCGAAGGCTCGGCAGTCTTCTGGGCCTCGGAGACGGGGCACACGGTCGTGTACTTGGGGACGACCGAGGTGACGACCTCGGGCGTCTTCTCGTTGGCCGGGCAGTCAGTGACAGTGGAGGCGCACTTGGTGACGGTGTGCAGCTGGGTCTCATAGACGACGGAAGTGGTCATGGGAGTGGCCGAGGCGGCGGGAGTCTGGTAGAGGGGAGTGCCGACGGCGACAGACGGGGTCTGGACGGGGGTGCCGCTGGCGTTGGGGCCGAGCCTGCCCTTGGCGTTGGCGCAGTTGTTCTGGTCGAGGCTGGCGCACGAGGCGTCGAAGCTGCTGCCGAAGAGGGTGAGGTCGATGTCGAGGCAGACGTTCAGCGGGACGAGGTCCACGCAGGCGTCGACGGCAGCCTTGAGCACGACCGAGTTGGCGCAGCGGCACGACGGCGTGTCCAAGACACAAACCTCGGCCAGCGCCTTCAGGAAGCACTGCTCGCGGCAGCCGCCAGGGTTCTTGGGGCCCTCGCAGGCGCCGCCAGAAGAGGCGCTGGGCGCGGCAGACTGCGAGCCGCCAATGTTCAGGTCGAGGCCAAGGCCGAGATGCGGTTCGGCCATGGCGCCAGCCGCCAGCATGGCGGCGGCGATAGTCCGTTGGTAGACCATCGTGGGGGGGGTATTAAGGATTAATGAGAGGATTACTGTGTTCAATGGTATAAACGAATGATTACAGTAGAGAAAAGCAGGAATGAGAGACTGCCCTGAGGGGTGAGGGATGAAGAAGAAAAGCGTATGGCAGAAGGCAAGCTGGACCTAGATATACCTCGTGCTCTCCTGGCGTACGGTGATCGCCTGCGACCTCGTTTTTTTGCGCGGCTGCTCTGCTGCCCCGCTATGATGCCCTCGACCGTGCCTACAGGGCTGTGTTTCCGCATTTAGCTCTCCGCAATACCGCCGTGTTCCTGTGCGTGCTCGATAGTGCACACCCCACAAGCCGCGCGGGAGCCGTTGCCAGGCGTATGGGTCAGCTTCTGTGCAGGGTAAGCGGAATGAGGCGCCCCTCGTACTCCAGTCCGATCTGCATATCGCCTGCTCGTTCTGGCCAAAGAGCTACCGATATTGCTCTTTGGTCGAACCCCGCCGTCGGGGATCATCACCGCCAGCGACCAGAGGAGTCGTCGGTCGTCCGTCGCCCGTCTCCCCTCTCCCGTATCAGCGGACACTCCACCGGTGACGCTTGGCGAGTCGCCGACACGAAGAGAGCCGGTTGATGCATACGAGCTTGCGGCGAGTTAGTCGTTGAGCCGCAGCCCTAGGCAGTACCTACCTAAGCAGTCGTCGGATAACCCGAGCGGGCCGACATCCCTGCCCCTATTCCTCCACCACACGACCACACGCGCCTCTGCAGATCCCCACACACACGACATTTGGTCATGCCCAGCTGCAATGGGAAAAGGAGATATAACCGGCTAGCCCGCGCGTGCGATCTCTGCCATATCACCCCGCACCGACCACATCGTAATGTGCGGGACTCGCGCGCGCCCGCCGGGACCCGGCACTGTTCGTACCGTTTAATGAACAGGAGGCCCCGCGGCGCCATGCGCCCCTCCCGCCCACAGGGCCGCAGGGCGCAAGCCCCATCTCCCATCTCCACCTTTCCAATGATCGCCCAAATCTGCTTTCGACTTTCGCCCTATGTGCATACCAAGCTACCTACCACAAGCTACCCAAATTCTCCCCGCCGATCCTATACCGCTGCGGGCTCTGATCCGCCTTGAGCCTCCCGGTTCCTGCCAGCTCGACTGCCGTGCGTGAGAGCGTGCGAGCACCGAGCGTGGGAGCGTGGGAGCGTGCGAGTGTGCACACCTGAGCTAAATCCAGCTATAGCGAACAGGGTTAGCAAAGTAGTTCATCCCCTCGAGATGATGAGTGAGCGAGCGAGTCCCGGGCCCAGCCAGCCAGTGACAGTCGCACGACTGCTGCCAGCTAGCTTCCTGTAGAGTACGAACTCAGAGTACGAAGAGGTAGCTACCTACGCAGTAGCCCAGCCAGACCAGACCAGACCAGACCCCTTCGAGGCAGAGGCAGCGGCAGCGGCAGCGGTGTAAGTCTCGCATGGAATATTCTGCCCATGTCCATGAGAGAGAGCCTCGACGTCCCCGGAAGCGCCGAAGCTCAGCACGCGCAGTCCAGCACCTACCGAGTTAGACATCCGAATTTTAGCCTTCCCTTCGCTTCAGCAAGCACCCAAGCATCCATACTGAGTAGATCCTCAACAAAACAAAACGCCCCCCAAACGCGTTGTCGTCGTCGTCGTGCAAACCATTCCATTGACAGCAGCAAACCCCGCCGTGCATGCCCATCCAAATATAATCGCGCCACACGTTTCACCTGCGAACGCCACTGACGGCGCCACTGACGGAGGGGGTGGGTGGGCTCTGTAGAGTAGTCTGTATCACCACTTCCAAGCTAACTTCCTAGGGTACGGCTGGTGCGGCCAGCCTTACGGACAGATCTCGGGGTTGTCGCGTGTGCGCCAGGACCGCACCGCGATCTCTTCCACTGGCGTGCACTCGGTGTGCTCGGCCGATGCCTCCGGGTTCGGTGGGCTCGGCCTTTGAGTCCGGACTCCGGGTGTCCGGGCGAGTGATAAAAAAAAATAAAAAAAAAACAAAAATAAACAGCAGTTGAGGCAGCAAAAAAAAAATTTTTTTTTGCTTCGCTCCCCTTGGCCCCTTGGCCTGTTTACTTTTTTTTTATTTTGTTTTTATAAAAACAAAAAAAAAAAAAAATAAGAAGTTCGCTATGGGCCAAAATTGAAAAAAGAAAAAGAAAAAAAGATGCATCAGCCGCGAATCGAACGCGGGGCCCATCGATGGCAACGATGGATTTTACCACTAAACCACTGATGCTGGTCGACTGCGAGAGCAACTCGATAAAATTTGTTACCGACGGTTCGTATATATACAGTAATTTGTACAGAAACTTGAAGCTCACAAAATTAAGCACCCCTCGCCTATCTCACATACCAAACTAGGTACGCAACAAGCACGCAGACAAGTCCCGCTCATCACTGCCCTTCCAACCGTCTCCCAGCCAGATAGATCTCACCACAGCGCACAGCGCACCTCGTTCGACTCATCAGCAGCTCGAGATCCCTACCCGCCCGCCAGGCCGCACGACCACGTACAGCCAACCGATTCACCCTTTCCAGATCCCGAGATACATACATACATACATACATATACACAGCAATAACATCAACCTCATCTCTCTTGCGCTTTCTATTCATAGGTAGGTAGGTGCCTAGGCCCAGACATGCAGGCACAGCCACAGCCACAACCACAGCGCACTAGATGTCGGCCCACAGCTGCGATCTCGCACGCGTAGAGAGCTTAGGGGTAGGGTAAGTGAGTTTTGTATAACGAGGAAATGCGAGCAACGCCTATGCGCACGCACGCGCTGGCCGTGGATAGATTGCGCCATCTTGCCCAGCGCACCTCGCCCTCTCGGACCTCAGGTTACTTTACGCCGTTGTCGAAGGCTGAGGTCTGGAGCCTGCTTCCGCGCCCATGTACTCGTACACTCACACAAACACGCTCCTCCTCACGACAACTGCACGGCACGCCATTGCGCGCAACCCCGTCCAAAGCGACTATTGCCTATACCCCAAGCCCAAGCACGCACGCACGCACGCACACTCGAAGATATTGTATATAAACCCGCAATCTCCGCTCCAATCTCCAGTCTATTTCACCACCCCTCAACCATAGCCACAGCCGCAGCCCCTCCTCCACACACACACAGACACCGCACACACCTCCCCCCCTCCCCCAGGGGAGGAGAGGGGGCAGAGATCTATACAATAGCTACCTATAGCCGAGATTAGCAGCACCGCTACGACCACCATCGCCACCCCCACCACCACCCACCGCCGCCACCGCTCATGCAAGATTTCCAATATCGATTTCGTGCTTCGTGCATGCGTTCAGGGTTTGCGATCTAAGCTATAAGATTTGAGATTTGTGATCTGAGCTTTGTGATCTGAGCTTTGTGATTTGTGATCTGGGGTTTTAAAAGGGAGACGGGATTGGGGGCGCTGATCGCAATTAATTTGCGCGCGGTAGGGTTGCTGCCTACATACCTATACTACGGGGTATGGAGTTAATGTGCGCGGTTAGGTTCGTTTACCTATGCAGTTGCTACGCAGTTATGCAGCTATGCAGCTGCGCTGGTGGTTGGGGTTCGCGATGGACGATAGAGGAACTACTGCTGACTTCTGCCTTGGGTGAGGTTGGTTGAGTAGGGCTTGTGGCGCGTTTGTCAGGGTCGGTGGATCAGGTGTGGACGCTGGGTTATGGATTTTTAGAGCTTAGGTGGGTAAGGAAAAGATTTATACACACCCTCATGCACACTCTGGACCTCAACACGCTTCACCATTACCACCACACGACTCCCATCCCCCCCACCTCTTTTCACAACCCCCTCACGACCCCCCGCCACCACCACCGCCAACAACAAAGCCCAGCTCATCCCTCCTATCATCAGTCAGCCGCCCCCACTCCAACAACAACCTAAACATATAAACCTCCATATCCTCCCTCCTAAGCACCTTCTCGGCCCACTCCCTCCCCTCCCTAGCAATCCTCTCAGCATGCCTCCGCCTCTCGCCCACAACCGCCCTCCCCCCACCAACAACAGTGCCATTAAAGCCCTCAAAAAACGCCAACGTGGCCCATAAGCCCTGCAAGCGCAGATCCAGCGGCACGAAATGCACCCACGGGACGACGCGGCCGTCGAGCCACTCGCGGAACAGAGCCATCTTGAAGGGCACGCTGCCGGAGCGGAGGAAGGGGATGAAGCGGCCGCTGAAGCCGGCGCCGTCGGCGTCGAGGATGTAGCGGTAGCGCCAGGTGCCCTGGAAGTCGATGGGGGCGGCGACTTCGCGCGGCGCAAACTCTGCGAATTGCTCGTTGCAGTCCGCCTCGAAGCAGCGCGGGTAGGATACGAACTGCACGTCGGGGGCGAAGTTGGCGTGCAGCTCGCTGGCTGCGACCAGTGCGTACCGCTGCTTTTTGTAGTTGTTGGAGATGGGCCATGGGAGGAGGAGCGCGTGCGTCGAGCTCGTGTTCATCGCTTCGTGCACTAAGCGCTGCCGTGCCATGCCCCGCCATTCGCCGTGCCCCGTCGACATGCCTTCGGTGGTGCTGCCGCGCCAGAAGAGCGTGGGATCCTTCTCCTCGAAGGGCGGGTCGGGATATTCGTCGTTGGGCGCGTAGACCGCTTTCTCCACGTAGTTCCATGCTGAAGGGTAGAGGATGTCGTTGTAGCCGGATGCCTTGCCTTGGCTGAAAATCGGCATCAGATCATGCGTGCCTGAGAAAGCTGCTGGTGACGTATAGAAGCCGTGAAGGCGGGCGAGGTCGGGCTGATGGCAGACGTCCGCGGCAAGCGTCCAGTTGGCGAGGTATCCTCCGAGTGAATGCGGCACGGCGCAATCGGTACATAACTTGCTGACGTCCCAGATGCGCTGTGTGCGAGCCTTGGAGTTTGGCGGACATGCTACTGTTCCGAATTCATCCCATGTCGACTTGAATGACATAACTTGGAAGCGATTTGTCCGAACAGGCTCCTGGGGAACGGCTTGCCAATTTTTGCTGCGATCAGAGCTGAATTTTGACACAACCCCAGGGTTTCTGCTCCGTTCAGTCAATGCCGTATCCCTGATGCGGTTCATCTCGTCGTAGGGTACAGCAACTCGACATTCGTCATTGAGGTTGAATGCCAGGTCCATGTCAGGTAACCATTTGCTGAACTTTTCAATCATCTCTACGACACCATCAAGCATCCAGCGATGTGTCCCTGGAACATTATCGCTTATTGAAACTTTGCCCTCCCGAATGATGATGCCTCCAATGCCACTGTCTGGGTCAGCAATGACCTCCCACGTCCGCTGGCGGATCTCAGCTGGACTCAGGGCCCAGAAAGGCAGCAAATCGCTGTAGATATTGTCGAAATCATCGATAATGAGCGTATTTCGTTCGACTGCATAGTTATACCAATCATCGAAATGCGGTGGTGGATGCCTCCCGTACCGAGCGGTGTAGTTGGTAGTTGCGTTGAACAAGGTCGCATTGATACCGGCATGTTTCAACCACTTACCGTGATTCTCATTGGCGTAATACATGAGCATGTCGATCGGATGGTATCTGACTTCACTGCTTCCATGGTAGGCAAACATGACTTGAAGCATGAATAGGAACAACACCACAGGTAAGAAGGTCCATAGAGAGAGCTTCCCGCGGTGACTTTGTGCTGTTGGCATGGCATGGACAATAAATCCTATGACCGCAACTAGAAGCGACATTATACCGCCTCCTGGAAGTGGTGGGAAAGGATGATTATGGTTCCATGCAGGTCCGAAAAGGTATACAAATACTGCTGTGAAAAGGACGATTACGGAGGTACTCAAAACGCCCACATAGTGTATCTGCACCGATGACAAGTTAGTAGTGTAAATACGGATCCAAACGAAAAAAAATAAAATCATGTTACGGGCCTGGCAGGGTTGGGGAATTGCCATAGCCGATAATGTCTCAAGAAAACAAGCAACGATTATGGTGGATTAAGAGCATCTCGTCAAAGAATCCAGGGATATTCACTTACTGTGCGTACAGCGCAGAGAGCAGCAATGGATATAGCCAGTGCCAATTTAATGGCACTTCCTGTATACTGTTGTGTATGTGTGCTTATCCATTCTCGGAGGTCTGAGGGCCCGAAAGAGTAATATGAAAGCCCAATCACTACCCAAATCGTAGCGGATATCTATTGGATAAAACATGTCAATGAGTATTTAGACAAAGCATTAACGAGTCTAGGAATGTTCCATGCATCTAGTGGTTAAGGGCTACATGTGCTAGCTGGTTTAAATTGAGGTAACACTTACAAGGCAGGCCAAACCAACATACGGTACGCCCATGCTCGAAAGCCTTGAATGCTGCTTCTGCTTGGAATCCAGCAATTGGAAGAGAAGGGCGCCAATAAGACCATCAATAAAGACACCGAGTGTTTGAAGGCGGGGTATCAAGACTGAATCCGTTGATGTTACGGGACAAATGTATGTAGATAAGGCTGGATAAGGCTTCGAAAAAGCGGCAATGCTACCAGCAATAATGATTGCAACACCAAACAAGGTTTTCAATGGGCTGTTGCCTGCCGTGGTCGCAAACTCCACATAAATGGTGGTCTCCATCTCATCAACCTCTTCTTCGTCCCGGGGCTGCTGGCGCATCTTCCGGTATTGCCACCAATCAGCCACCGCGACGAATACGAGAGCTAGAGGAGTCAAACTGGGCCCTCTGCATTCAACACGTTGTAGCACGCGGCGCAACACTTCTATACGTGCCGTCAGGAGCAGGCCGACCAAAACAGTTCTGGCTCTCAGGCCAAACAATGTAGGCTTGGCCACTTCGCCAGGCCCTTCCAATACTGGGGATGCTGGGCGTGAACCGGCTCCCCCATCTTGTAGGTCCTGTAGAGGTATCGGCGCATAATGGGCGTTTGAGACAGTCGTGCCGTGAAATGGTCTTATCTTCTGGGCGAGTAGCAGCGCAGCGCCACAGACGATCAATACGGCAATGGACGAATGAACGGGTCGGTCGAATGCGAAGGACGTGTCAAGGGTGGAAGCAATATAGAGAAGACAGGCGAACAGGCCGCTGCTAAGCATTAGCCAAGTACCTCGAGAGATGGATTTGTAACAGCGCATACGAGACCCAGAGGAGCGGAGCCCGATCCATGTGTGGCTACCGAGTAGCTGGCAGAATTCTCAAGGTCGCAAGGAGCATGGTTGTTGGTGGAGGGTGAAATGCGCTGCTGTGCCTCTCGGGCTGTGCCTGATCCACGGCCGGGTCGTCATCGCGGGCGCAGGCGCGCGTCTCCCGCCCGAGACTAAATTGGTCATGGCGGAATTACCGAGGAATGGCCGGCCGAGGTCAGACGAGGTGGGAAGCTTGGGTTTGTTGGTGTATGATGGCTATATGGAGGTGAGAGACCAGATAACACATAGCAGATGCAAAAGCCTAGGACAGTTTCTGCGACCCAACTTATTTTGCGAGACAATGCAAGTTGCCGGCAAAAGCTTAGCATTTTCGTCGATATCGAGCTTCATCTTCCCTTATCTTAGCGGCTTGGCAAACTTTTTTGCGCGAGGCCTCGGACAATCAACGCGATGCGCCAGCCGTGACAACGCCCGTGGACCCCTTCACTGCCTCACCTGGACCGTTGCCGGGATATCTTGCGCCTCGTCTTACTCCGCGCATATCGGGAAGCACCACCTGCCCTCGCCGAGGAACCAACGGAAGCTCAAATCGATCCTTACTAGCGCCGCGGAGGAGGCGCGGAGCCGCAGACACCATGGTCAAGAAAGCCATTGATTCGCGCATTCCCGCGCTCATCCGGAACGGAGCCCAGGAGAAGAAGCGTAGCTTCTTTGTCGTCGTCGGTGACCGCCAGAAGGATGTCATCGTCAACCTCTACCACATCCTGCTGAACGTCGACGTGAAACTCAACAAGTCGGTCCTGTGGGCTTACAAGAACAAGCTGCTTGGCTTCACCAGTCACAGACAGAAGCGCGAGAAGAAGATCAAGAAAGAAATCAAGCGCGGCATTCGTGACGTCGACACCGAGGACCCTTTCGAGCTGTTCATCTCGACCCAGAACATTCGCTATGTATACTACAAAGAGACGGAAAAGATCTTGGGTAACACGTATGGCATGTGTATCCTGCAGGACTTCGAGGCCATCACCCCGAATCTGCTGGCAAGAACCATCGAGACGGTCGAGGGTGGTGGACTGGTCATTCTGCTGCTCAAGGGCATGAGCAGCTTGAAGCAGCTTTACACTCTGTCTATGGATATCCACTCGAGATACCGGACTGAAGCGCATGGAGATGTCGTTGCGCGCTTCAACGAACGCTTCATTCTTTCTCTGGGAGGCTGCGAGTCGTGTCTCGTGGTTGACGATGAGCTGAATGTGCTCCCGATCTCAGGCGGTAAGAACGTTCAGCAGTTGCCTCCTCCCGACCCGGAGCTGGAGGGCAAGACGAAGGAGGCGAAGGAGCTGGAAGAGATCAAGGAATCTCTGGCGGATTCGCAGCCGGTGGGTTCCTTGGTCCAACTGGCAAGAACCGTGGATCAGGCCAAGGGTCTGTTGACGTTCGTGGATGCTATTGCTGAAAAGACGCTTCAAAGCACTGTCACACTCACGGCTTCCAGAGGTCGTGGTAAGTCGGCGGCTTTGGGTATCGCGGTGGCCGCAGCAGTTGCGCACGGTTACAGCAACATCTTCATCACTGCGCCGAGTCCCGAAAACTTGAAAACTTTCTTCGAGTTTGTCTTCAAGGGCTTCGACGCCCTCGAGTACATGGACCACGTGGATTACTCGATTATCCAGTCGACTAACCCTGACTTCAACAAGGCCATTGTGCGTGTCAATGTGCACCGCAAGCACAGGCAAACCATCCAGTATATCCAGCCCCAGGATGCTTATACGCTTGGCCAAGCCGAATTGTTGGTTATCGATGAGGCTGCGGCCATCCCCTTGCCTCTTGTAAGAAAACTGATGGGACCTTACCTGGTCTTCATGGCCTCTACGATCAACGGTTATGAGGGCACCGGAAGGTCTCTTTCCCTGAAGCTCATCCAACAACTCAGAGAGCAATCTCGTGGAGGAAAGGTCAAGGGTGACGAGATCGTTGCAGACCGTTCCACTGGTAAGGAAGCTAAGAATGGCTCTGAACTAGCCACTGGCGGTCGCACGCTTCGCGAAATTACCCTCTCTGAGCCCATCAGATACGCGCCTGGAGATGCAGTCGAGAAGTGGATGAACAAGCTTCTGTGCTTGGACGCCACTTTGCCCAGGTCGAAGATCAACACTCATGGCACCCCTCACCCCTCGCAATGTCAGCTTTTGCACGTTAACAGAGATACCCTCTTTTCTTTCCACCCCGTTTCCGAAAAGTTCCTGCAACAGATGATGGCTCTCTACGTTGCCAGTCATTACAAAAACTCGCCAAACGATCTTCAGCTCATGTCGGATGCGCCCGCACACCAGCTGTTTGTCCTTGTCCCGCCTGTTGACGAGGGCAGCAACCGTCTTCCTGAGCCTCTTTGCGTCATTCAAGTGGCTATGGAAGGTCAGATCAGTCGCGAGAGCGTGCTGAACAGCCTTAGCAGAGGTCAAAGAGCCGGTGGCGATCTTATCCCTTGGCTCGTTAGCCAGCAGTTCCAGGACGAGGATTTCGCCGGCTTGTCAGGTGCCCGTGTTGTTCGGATTGCCACGAACCCCGACTACATTGGTATGGGATACGGATCCAAGGCCATAGAGCTGCTCATGGACTTCTACGAGGGCAAGTTCACCAGCTTGTCCGAGACGGAGCCTACTGAGGCGGAGGAGATGGTCCGGGTCACCGACACTGAGCTGGAGAGCTCGAGCTTGCTCCAGGACAATGTCAAGGTCCGCGACATCAACAGCATGCCGCCGCTCTTCTCCCGCCTGTCGGAGAGGAAGCCCCCTGCACTTGACTGGATTGGCGTCAGCTACGGTCTCACGCCGTCCCTGCACAAGTTCTGGAAGCGCTCTTCATACGTTCCCGTATACGTCCGCCAAACCGCCAACGACCTTACTGGCGAGCACACTTGCGTTATGCTGCGCTCCCTCGACACACCCAACACCGACCAAAGCTGGCTCGGTGCGTTTGCGCGCGACTTCCATCACCGGTTCCTTTCCCTGCTGTCGTACCAGTTCCGCGCCTTCCCCTCGGTCACTGCCCTCAGCATCGACGAGTCTGCTTCCGCCGGAACCAAGCACGACACGGCCGCGTCTCCCAAACCGCTCAGCAAAGCCGAGCTCGACAACATCTTTTCGCCCTTCGACCTCAAGCGCCTGGACAGCTACGCCAACAACATGCTCGATTACCACGTCATCCTCGACATGTTGCCCACCATCGCGCACCTCTACTTCAGCGGCCGCCTGCGCCCGGCAATCAAGCTTTCGGGCGTGCAGACGTCGCTCCTCCTTGCCATCGGCCTGCAGCGCAAGGTCCTCGAGGACGTAGAGAAGGAGCTCGGACTCGGCTCGAGCCAGCTGCTCGCCATGTTCGTCAAGGTCATGCGCAAGGTGTCGTCGCACTTCCGCAACCTGGTCGAAGGCGCCGTGGCGGAAGAGCTTCCGGACGCGCCCGAAGCCGCTGACGGCGCGGACGAGGAGGCCGACGAGACCCACAAGCGCTTCCAGCCTTTGGCGCAGAGCCTGACGGAGGAGCTGGCAGAGGAGGCGGACGAGGTCAAGCGCGCGGAGAAGGAGCGCATGAAGAGCATGATTGACGCTCTGCCGTTGGATAGGTAAGTTTCCTGAACCTTGCTTCTTCTCATCGTCACCAAAATCACGTTGCTGACCCTTGTCCCTCATAGATACGAAATCGCAGACGGCGGCGCCGACTGGGCCGACGCGGAGCGCCAGGTCGCGAAGGCGGCGACGTCGGGAGACGCCCGTCGGAGCACGACTGTCAGCGTCAAGACGAAGGGGAATGGCGGGAAGCGCAAGGCGGGCGAGGCGGTCGGCGAGGCGTACAAAGAGGTGGAGTCGGCGAGGGAGGGCAAGAAGAGCAAGAAGGCTGGTGGTGGGAAGAAGGGAAGGTAAAAGTGAGGAATGTTGTTGTTGCTGCGTGAGTGGCTGTTTTGTAGCTCTGTTTGTAGAGCTGTTTTTTTCCTTTCGCATAGGGTGGTGTTTGGGTCGCGTGTCGTGTTTTGGGGGTCCGGTAGGAAAATTTACCAGTTTTTTGTGCATTTGTTTGAGGGTTGTGCTGGGGGTGGTGTTTTGCGGCGGTTTGTTTGTGTGCTTAGCAGATGCTGGCGGTGGGGAAGCGGGTGGAAACCAGATTCTGGGTGAGTGTGTGTGTGTGTGTAAGGATGCCGGCTTGACACAGAGCATATGCTAAAAAGTTTACAGATTTCGACCCGACAATGTTCCCGACAATCTTGTTGCAGCACCCTGGAGGAGGCCAACAATCCATTTACAACGAACAAATTAGAAAAGGTGGTATCACAACATCTCAACACTCATCTCAAAGACACACACTCAACGCAGCAGTCGGCCTCACTCCTTCAAATCCGCCACAAAGCCCAGCACATTCTTCTCGTCATCACAAACGCGGGCAAACTCCAACAACAGCCTATAAACATACACCTGCATATCTTCCTTCCTAAGCACCTTCTCCGCCCAGCGCTGGCCGGCCTCGGCAATCCTGCGCGCGCGCTCATCCCTGGCGCGCAAATACGCCAGCACGGCATACACGTCGACGAAGGAGTTGTCGAGCGGGACGAAGTGCACCCAGGCCCACAAGCGGGCGTCGTGCCACTCGCGGTAGACGCTCGCTTTCAGCGGCACGCTGCTGCTGCGCATGAAGCTGCGGAAGCGGCCGCTGAAGCTGTTGCCGTCGATGTCGGCGAGGTACTTGTGCCCGAACTGCGCGGCCATGGGCAGCGGGTCCGCGAGCGCGTAGTACGGTTCTGTGTAGGGGCAGGCGGGGCCGCCGGTGCTGGGGAAGCAGAGGAGGTCGGTGAACGCGACGTCTGTGAAGGGGGCCAGCCAGGCGCCGAGATGGCCCCCCTGCGCGGAGCCCGGGACGCTGTACAGATCTGCGGAGGGCAGCCGGAACGTCTCGCCCCGCCCGTTGGCGCCCGTGCCTTCGGCCGCCGAAACCGCGCTCCCGTTCAGCATGCCCACGAACCGGTGCCGTTGGAAGTGCCGCCACGTCGCGGCTTTGTTGCGGCCGCCTGTGCCGGCGCCGCGCCAGATCAGCGCGTTGAGCTTGAACGGCCACGCGGCGCCGTGCGCGCCTTCCCCGCCCGAGTACCGCACGTCGCTGCTCCAGTACATGGCGGGGGGCAGCAGGATCTCGTTGTTGGAGTGCAGTTTGGAGCCGCCGAAGAGGGGCAAGAGCCGCGTCGACGTTTTCATCGATTGCGGCTCGATGAAGGTGCCGTGCAGCCCGCGCAGGTGCGGGTGCTGGCATGCGTCGCTCGCGGTGGTCCAGTTGGCGACGTAGCCGGCGTGCGAGCCTTTCGGTGCTTGCGTCGGCATGAAGTCTGGTGCCGGCAGGCGCAGGTCTGTTGGCTCCTCTGGGTCTTGACGTGCCGGGCTGGCGGGGTGGCATGTCGAGCGCACGAGCGGCCAGATGCGGCTGTAGTCGTGGATCCAGTCGGGGGAGGGCGGCGGCGCTGCTTCAGTGTCTGCGTTTGCGGACGTGGCGCTGAAGCTCTCAACAACCTCCCCCAACGACGCCATTTGCCGCTCTCTGGCTGCGGTTTCCATGAGCTCGTTGACGCGCTCCCAGGGCACGAGCAGCCGCGATTCGTCCATCACGTTTACCGGGATGTCGAGGCTGATGTTCGCGGGTAGGTGGTCTGCGATGCTGCCGAGGAGGTCCAGCCACGGCTCCATCCAGATATGCTTCTCCTTCGTCTGCATGACAGCCTTGCCATTGCGGATGCCCAAAAGCCAGGGCTCGACCGTCTTAGCAGACTGGCGGATCTCGGCAGCAGGGAGGCCCCAAAACGGCTCCAAGTCATGGTGGATCTGGTCGAAGAAGGACTCGACGACGAGGGCGTCGTTGCGGCGCGCAAACTCGAACCAGCCATCAAAGCCCGGGGGCGGGTGTCTGGCGCGGCGCGCGCGGTACTCTGCGGCCGCGGCTGGCAGCGTCGTCGCCTGCTTCGCGACGGCTTGGCTGAACTCGAACTCGGCGTTCTGGATCAGCTCCTCGATGGGGTGCGTCGCCTCGGCGGGCATGGCCGGCTGGTGCAGCCACGACATGTACAGCACGATGGACAGGGCCACGAAGGCCCCGATGGCGAGCAGCTGGCTGCGGCGCGCGGTGCGCCATTGCGAGCCCATGCGCGTCCACGCGGCTGTGTGCGCTGCCTTCATCGCTGCTGCTGCTGTTGCCAGGACATGGGGAGGAAAATCAAGACCGTGTGACGAGTTTGTGTGAGCTTACGAGCGCGTCAGCCTAAAGATGGAGTTTATCCGTGAGGTTAAGCGCCTGGCTGCGCCTCGCGTTACACGGCGTCGTCGCCTGTGAGACTTGGCCATAGGCATAGGGGGAGCGCGTCTCCGGAACAATGGAGGGAGCAGACGCCCCGCATTTCTTTGTTGTACGTAGTAAGTGTCTGTTCGGTTTCGGTTATTGGGCGCTTATCCTCGATGCACATCATCTATAGTTTCCCTGTTATAGATCCCGCTTACTTCGCCCCTTTGTTGTGGATTAAACTGTTGCTTTCATCGTCAAAGAAAACAAAGAGCATGCCCACGGTTTATGCGAGCGTTGTTGTCAACGTGTCATGGTTGTTGTGGTTGGTGGCACAGTAGGTACAGTATCCGCCGACGAAAGAGCGAAAGTATGGTGATCTTGGTGGAGCCAGACCAACTCAGGACTGCTTTATACGATAAGGCTTACGTGAACTCTGAATACGAGAAGAAGAACATCACGAGTGTTCAAAGCAGTGGCCCGAGAAGTTGATGTTATTTTCACGATAAAGTAGGTACAGAAAATCCCTAGAATTCTTTAGCAATTCACACTATCAAGGAAGGACAAAAAAGGTTTACATGATTTGAGCTTTAAACCACAAAGGATTTACTACGATCGGGAGGGAAGACAAAGTTACAGTCTACATAACCTCTTGAGCAATATAGTTTGCTACGAACTCAAGTTTTGGGCCTACGTAAGATCTATAGATAGGGAGCGTTATGGTATATCTGCAGTATCTTCAATATCTAAATTTAAAGCGACTTGACTTGCTTTTGCTTCTACAGAGTACCGCTTACTATTTGATAGAGAGATTTGAATAATAACATCTCCCACTTAAACTGCAGTAGGGATTATATTGTACATTTTATTTCTAACGAATAGGAAGTGGTTGAATTGCGACGAGCCATAGGTACTTGATATCAATGAAATGGGAGATACAATAGATAATAGATAGAATAAAAGTATTCACTTGACAATATGTGTAGTGGACAGCGAGAGCGGATGTTGGTAAACGGTTTGTGGATAAACTTTGGCAACGTCACTTCAAAGATGCCGTCTAACCCATGACGATTTTCGCTCTGCAGCGGTTCGAGACGTTGATCGTCAATACCATGCTCTCCCTGCCACACGCGATTTGTGGAATGTCGCGGTGATACAAAGATCGGCTCTGCATATGACACCAAGAAGAACAAGTCTATGACGTAGGTCGACGCGAGCTTCCTTTTCCGTCGCGTCTCCCCGACCAGCATTATCTCAACCCTCGACTTGCACCACCACAACAATGAACGCCTACGAAACCCAACGTTTAAAAAACATAAAGCGCAACCAGGCCCTAGTCGAGCAACTGGGCCTCGAACACAATGCCGCCAAACTCTCAACCTCCAGGCCCAAGAGCAGCTCCACGAACGCGAAACCAGGCAAGCGACGAAAGCTGCTAACAGGTCAGCCCACACGGACATCCGCGCGCATAGCAAGCGCAGGGATCCGTCCAAGCTATGCGGAAGACGAGCTTGACAAATCATCCGCCTCAGCGGGTTACCAGCCGCGCAGAGCCCAAAGCCAGAACCCCCAGAGCGCGCGCTCGGTCTCTCCCGCAAACACAAGCGCAAAGCGCGATCCGCATCCTGACCTCGCGGCCATTAAAGCCGGCTGGACCTCTTGGACGTCCTCCGCGCCCCCGCCCACTCGCGACGAGCACGGCACCTTCCACTTCGCGGATGCGCCGGGCTTCACGCCGAACAAGTCGCCTGAGGAGATCCTGCGCGAGGGCTGCTTCGGGGGGTCATATTTCCGGCCCTTGTACTCGAAAGCTCTAGGCACGACTGTCGAGGATGACTGGCGCGAGCTTCCTGACGAGTGGATCGCCGGTCTGGACGTCCAACGCTACCTCACGAGCCCTGAGTACGATGCCGAGGTCAATAAGTTCAAGGTCGCGTGTGGGCAGAGCATTGAGGAATGGGAGGCTGCGGGATGGATCGCGCATGAGTATGATGTGCGTGGCTGGTTTCAGTGGTTCTGCCGGTTTTGGCTGGGGAGAAGGTGCGACGACGATGAAAGGCAGATTGGGAGGTGGCGGAAGTGTGTGGGGGAGACGGGGAGGTGGCGCAGGATTTTGTTGAAGAAGTACGTCGCTATGGGTGTCAGGAGTGTGTTCGATGAGGGAGGTGACGATGATGCGAAGGGGGATGTCAGTCCTGTCGTGCATCAGACATGCCATCATTGGGCATACGAGGTAAGACAAGAGGCGCTGGACAGATTTTGGGAAGAGGGGAGGTGAGCATATTGGATCACCTGTTCGAAATCTCCCGCGGAGAAGTTGTGGTTTTGAGGGGGTAGAGAGGAACCTATCGGATCGTTCCCAAACCAACAATCCTCGAGCCATCTGTTTGCCAACCCGATCGCGCTTTGCGACTTCTAGGATTATAACAGAATCCTGGAATCCCACGCTAGGCATTTTCTCTGGATGGATCTTTGCTTGCGCAGGAGCTGAATATTCGGACAGAGTGGTCTTGGCACAATCGCGCCTCGAACTAGATGTCATCAGTGAAGCATCCCCTGGAATGTTCTCCGCTTCACTGAGTTTCATGGGATAATTGTTGGAGGTGAGGGAGGTCTCACCATTATAACTTCATTCCTTCCCCTAAACTTGGAACAACGAAGACAGCGCCACTTTATCTTCACAAACCTCGAAAGGCGAAACCAGGGGAATCCCTACAATCCTCGGGAGCAGTTTGCGATTCCACGGAAGCTAGGCTACTTTTTTCAGGGGATCAATCAGGGGCTGAACAGTGCCACACCACTCCTAGTTCGGCTAGCGGGTTGCGAAGGTGACAACTCTGTGGCCTTTTCTGGAATCTATCAGACCATTATTCCTTGAGTCAGCTACAGTCGACAGGTTTTTTGCAAGGTCAACCGTGCAAGAATATAGTAGCAGACGAGTCAGCAACAAGAATAGGTCCAGCCTCACTGCGCCTCGTAACGAAGATTTTTTAAGCAGAGCGTCGCTTTCATCTGCATGCCTTAGACTTGCATGAGATACCTATGACATAAGGTTCTCCTCAGCCTAGAGGCTGGCATCAGGGTTTATGGCTTAACTGCACACAGTATAAGTTATAATGCGTGGCTTCAGAGCTTATCTTTACTTACTGAGAGCCTCGGCTACTCGGGTTCCAACCATTTGATTCCTGAGGGACTTACTACGTACAGCTCCACAAGGAAGACGGCGAAGGAACAGTTTTAGCAAATGCGAATTTCGCGTAGACAGACTTTGAGCGGCCTCGTCAGCTTCGATCCCTGTCAGGTGAGTTGTCATACCAGTAGCAGCCACGGCCGCTCCGACCGGACGCGTCAACGGCTTCTAGCCAATTCGTATGGCGTGTTACTTCCAGTTGTTGGACCCGGGCCATCCCTAGCTGGCTCACTTGTGGCTTAGCGTTGGCGTTGCCTCGCCAAAACTGACTTAGGGGGAACGCTCTCGCCATCCCCAGGAGCCCCCGGATCTTCAGGCAATCATCCGCACGCCCCCCCCAGGATGCTTCGCTTGGCGAGAGATGTTGAATTTGTGGCAAGAGAGATCTAACTATCTTCAATGCAGTGCAACAGGTCTTGCTTTGAAGTCCAGATACCACTGATTCAGCAGCTCAACGACATCATTGCCTCGGTATAATTAGGTCATGCTACACAACGGCACAAAGATCAAGCACGACGTCCTCCTGTCCCTCTGGGGCTGATGGACCTAACGTGGAATGTTCGAGATCGACCGATCACCCTTCCACGTTTGGAGCCATTGATAGGGAACTGAAGCGAAGGGGGCTGATTTTAAGATGGTCTCAAAAAATAGCTCGCGGAAAAAAGACCAAGATGGACCCTGGATAGAAAGCTTATCAGCCCGCAAGCCACAGCTCGCGATTCCTTCCCATCCCTTTGTCACCCGGCGTAAGTTAACGCCCAACGCGGACTAGAAGAACCAACGGCCCTGTCGGGGGCGTCGGAGCAGTCCTGCCACAAGGATTTCCACTGGTGTGTCGATCTACTGTGCGCACTAGATTTCTGAAACGTATGATCAGGCAGGCCAAGGTGGCGAGTGGAGAAATTTCAGGTGCATGGAGCAGTGTTCAAAAGTAAGGTTACCGCCTGGTGCCGCCGAGGCCTGCAAAAAGACTTAGGAGCTTCACTTCTACTTATGCAGTGAGCAGATCTACATCTTGCGGTGATCACTCTCGGCCCCGCAGAAACCATGTCAGAACTCGACCCCGTATGTGAACCTCCACTCTTTTCTTTTTCTTGACTGATGAGAGCTAAGAATGAGTACAGACGCAATCACACGCATCAAGGGCGGGGGCCATCCTCGCAGGAAACATTGTCCCGCAAATAGCAGCTACGATCGTCGTGATTGCGCGCTTTGTGTCGAAAGGCTATTTGCGACGATCATGGGGCGCAGATGATTCAGTTCTTGCTTTGGCTTGGGTCAGTCACTGCGTCTCGAGGAAGCTGTCGCGCACGGCCTTGCTAACCATTTAGCAGTTATCATCACTTACGCTCACCATCTGCTCATGTGTTCAAACGAAGTACGGTGCGGGTATGCACGACGCCGACGTGCCCGACTGGGCAATGAAGCCCAGCTTCCAACTCCGTTACGGAACCGTTCTCCTCTACAGTCTGGTCGTCTCCCTCACCAAGATCAGCGTCTGCCTCTTCTACCTGCGCGTCTTCGCAAACCGCACTAGCCGCTACCTCTCGATCGCATGCATCGTCTTCGTCTGTCTTTACACGATCCCTATCGAATGCCTGAATATCTTTCAGTGCCAGCCGATCGACGCGGCGTACGACCCTGTGAAGATCGCTACTGCGAAATGCATCGACACGATGCCCGGATTCTATATTTCAGCGGGCTGCAGTATCTTCGTCGATATCTGGCTCATTGTGCAAGTCGTGCCGATGATTCTCCCGCTGCAAGTCCCGCGCAGGCAGAAAATCGCACTCATCTTCGTTGTCTCACTCGGCTGGATGTGAGTAATTCCTTCTCACGTATAGGCTCTATAACACTGCGCTAACACTCACCGCAGCATCATCGTTGCCAGCATAGTCCGCCTTGTCCGTCTTTCAAGAGCGCTGAAGTCTAGCGACAAAAACTGTACGTACCCCCCTCTTCCCTCCCGGGGGGCGAGTGGCACTCAAATCCCAATACACGTACATACTAACACAATACACACAGGGGACTCGTACGACGCGTCGATCTGGACAGCTATCGAATGCAACATCGGACTCATCTGCGTCTCAGCACCAGCAACAAAACCGCTCCTCCAAAAAATGGCGCCGGAATTCATGCGGTCACTGTCGAACCCGACGTCATACCCCGCGGGGACGTACCAGCTGCAATCGGGGAAGCGGCGCACGGGCGCCGGCACGTTTCCGCTGCGCAGCGAGGAGAGCGGGCTGCGGTCACAAGCCGGCATATACGAGCATGAGGACAGCGGCGTGTACGGCGGCAAGTCCGGCCGTACGGGGCCCGGCGGCACGTTTTGGGAGACCACTGTCACGGCGCGAGTGCGTGGCGATGGCGAGAGCGAGGAGGAGGTCCTTGCTGGTGTGCGGAATGCGATCACGAAGAATATCGAGGTGACGGTGGAGAGCGCCGATAAGGGCAGTAGTGGTGCTGAGAGCTTTGTTAGTGATGAGAGTGGCAGTGCTGGCCCCAGAGGTGCGAGGTATTAGCTGCGCTCAGGCTGCCGCTGGGCTTTTTTCTTTTGTTGCCTGCTTACCATTATACCCCGATTTTGAATATATGTAATGTTTTGTCACTATATCTGGTCGTACTGGGGAATGCGCTTGTGTGAAGCGGCAATGGACATGGAAAAGGTTGCTAACGCTTTACTTTTTCTAATGTTGTATCTAGATCTACGTTCAGTCGTGCCATACAGGATTGATGATTTTTGAGTTCGCCATGCTATGAAAAGCTTCCACACGCTGCGCGAGCTCTATACACACTAGACTTGTGTATATGGAAATGGTACATTCACAAAGTTATGCACCCAGAAACACGTCTAGAATGCATGCAACCCCAAACTTCCTCATACTTATAGAATACCATAATACTTTATGCACGTTAGATATTTATACCTCTATAAAACTTCTGAGGCCCATCACATCGTCTCTTTTTTAAATACGTTCAACGCTTTATTCACTTAGCATTTCTACTACTTTCACCCAATCAAGGAGTGCTTCGTGTGTTGGTAGATATGATCTCTATGTAGTTAAGAAACATAGCATACACCTTGTTAAAATGCACTTCACCATGATTTTGCGCCTTTCAGGCGTACGCAGGAAGTCTACAACACTTGCAAACTGCCTTTACGAAGAGCTATGCTTGCTGAAGTCAGAGTCAGATCCGTAGGGTCGTATAAATTCCCTACTTGGTCGATACTTAGCAGTCCGGGTGTTCCTACGAGAGCATCCTCAACGTCCGTAAGCTGCGTTGGTGAGGCGGCGGATGGGATACCCGTTTCGAACTAGCGCCGATAGGGGCTGCTCAGCCACAACGCAACAAGCGGACACGACAAAACCGACAGCGCTCTAACACGTGATCGATGCTCACGTGAGCGCTCACACGTTACCACCGGTCGCGCGCCTTGGCGTGTCGACTTCGCGATAAGCCACTCCACCTCTCCACCACCGTCATCACCTCAACTCAACCACCACGCTGCCGATCCATCAACACCTTCGCGCGACTCCTGTCGCCTGCTCGCCGCGCGTCTCTAGACGCCCGCTCACGTCGCGCTGTGCTCGACGCATTCGCTCCTCGCCTGTATCGCCGCCCCCTTCCCTTCGCATCTCTTCCCTTCTCGAGTCAGGGCTGCTCATCCCAAAAGCCCGGGCGGGTGGGCGAGTCGTCAAGCTTTCGCTGCTACCGCGCTTGGCTGCTCCAGTGGTTCAAACAGTGCCGGCCCGGCACCAATACCTCGTGCGCACTGCAGTACGGCTCCTACGCTCTCGGCGGCTAGAACTACCCTCGGGCCTTCCTTGCAGTGATTCGGTTCTCCGGACGTGGTGGAACTATCCTCAGAAAGCGCTTTGTAGCGATTCGGTTCTCCGTTGGCAGTAGAACTACTCTCAGAGTCGAGTCGCTCTGCAGCAGTCCGGGTCTCTGTCGGCGGTGGAACTATCCTCAAGGCCTTTTTGTAGTGATTTGGTTCTCCATCGAAGGCTAGAACTATCCTCAGGGGAGTTTCGCAGTGGTTCGGTTCTCCGTTGATGGCTGGGGCTGTGCTTGGGTGTCTGCAGTGGTTCGGTTCTTCACTTTGATAATTTTTTCAAGATCCGACTTAGAAAGGGCCTGGCACTGTTCGTGTGCCGTGAAGTTCGGCGTGGAGGGAACGATTTGTCATCTACCGGACGCTCCACGTTGAACTGCCGTTTGGCAATAGAGTCAGGGTTGCTCTCGAACGTTGTTCGGAAAGCCCGGGTGGGCGGGTTATCTGCACCATTTGGTGTGGGGAATTGATCGTCATGAACTTTGATGTTTTATTTTTGATCTATGTTACTGACTTTTTCCTTGCATATAGGGTCGGCTTCTCATGCCCTGCACAAATTTTCAGAATGGCCGCCATCAATGCACAGCAAGATGTTCAGGCCGATGAGCACACAGCAACTGATACCGTGGTCGGCAGCGAAATGCAAAATATCGTGACCGAGCGGGTTTTGGCCGAGTGGCAAGACAAGGAGACAGGGGAACTCTGCACTCTTGGCTCCATGTTATCCGTCAACAAGCAAGCTACCAACTTCGAATTTCAGTTTGGCATTGATCAGTCTTCGCACGCCTTTATCCGGTTTCCGTTTATTATCTCTATAAAGGCGGCTGGCCGCCCTAGTAGAAGGGACACGCTTTTCGTACTCCCGGTTCATGCATTCAATTTCAACGATCCTGTGCGGTTTGAGACTCTCACGGCATCTCAAGTTGGTACGGGGCCTATATTAGCAGCCATCCAGGAGGCTTCCCTGTCCGCATCTGATAAGATTCTACGGGTCGAATTCAACCTCAACGAGCCAGGATACATGCTTATCGCAAAAACAATGAATCCTGCAAAAGTCATCAAACCCAGCACCTCGACCTCACACGATCTCCTTCTCGGCCTACAGTCACTGTCAAAAGCAACGCGCTTCGCTGTCTACATGAAGCCCAGTGATTACGCCCGCCAAGGACTGAAGATAGTGTGCGAGCGCCTGTGCGCCGGCGCGCTGAAGCAATATCCCCTTGATTTGAGCAATATGTACACTAGAGGCGCCGAGTTAATCGACTGGAGCAAATTCGAATTGGACAGCACCCGTGCCTGTGGCAAACATCAAAAAGACAACGACTATGCCGCGCCGCCGGACGACTTCCTACCACCGTATGAGCCGCCGCAAAACAGCAGCAGTGTCAGCAGCAATGGTAGTAGCAGTGGCAGCAACAAAATTAGCGCTCCCGCAACGCCACCGCTTGTCCCGCGCACACCATCAGTACAGTTCTCACCCAAGCCCGCCACCACGCCGGACTCGCAACTGAGCTTCCTCCGCTCGCCACAGGGCGTGCCGGCGTTACTGGAAAAATCACCCAGCACGTCTATCATCCTTGAGACCCCCGACAATGACAACGACTGGTTCTCGGCTAGTGTGATGCGCGCTCGCCTCTACAACGGGGTGGCCGCGACACCGACGCAGGCGGATACGGAATCCAACCAGAGTGGTGGGAGCGTTTATGCTGGTAGTGTGTATGCTGATGAGAATGGAGCGTATGCGGCTGCGCATCAGTCACTTGCCCCTTCCATGCCAAGTACGCAGGAATGCTGGGGCCAGAGTCAGAGCCAGTCTCAGCACCTCGAGCCGGGGTCGCCTGCTCTGGAACCTACGCAACACTATCAGAGTCAGTCTCAGGGCTTGGAGCCACTGTCTCTTGCTTTTGAGCTCGCAAGGCAGCTCCAAAGCCAACCTGAGCAATTCTGGCCGCAATCCCCTCCTTTGGAACCTACGCAGGAGGCCCAAAGCCAGTACCAGCGCGACTTCGACCTAGAGCCGCCCCGCAAACGCCGCCGTCTCTCGTCCGTGTACTCGGGTCTGACAGCTGCATCTCCGCTCCAACAACAACCTCAACTCCAACACCAACACCAACCTATAACCTCGGCCTCGCCCGCTCCCTCCCCCGCCCACATCGCCGATCCTCTACCACAAAGCACGCTCCTCCTCATCTCCCTCGCCCAATACCTCAGCGAAACGCTCCTCACGCACCATCCCACCGCGTACGCCTCACCGCGTCTGCGCCCTCTGCTCTTCGCGCTCGGCCAGTCCGCGCGCTTAGGCGACGTGGAGGTGTATGAGAGCGTGCGAGCCCGCTGCTCGGCCGTGTGGTTCTACTATGGCGATGAGGCGGGTGATGGATGCGGGTGTATGGATGTGGATGACGACGATGGAGTTGGAGATAAAGAAGGGGGTGCAGCGGAGCAGCGCTTTGTGGACGATTTGGAGGCGCTGGTGCGCTGGGCGAATGGAGTAGATCGCCTTGCGGATGCGATGGCGAGAGAGGAGCTTGAAAAGCTGGGGAGGGCGGCGAGGGAGGTGGTTGGGAGTGGTGGTGCTGAGCTGTGCGAGAAGGAGTATCGCTGCCAGAAGGGTATGTGCGTCGCTGTTGTGTTGGTGACGTTTGGGAGGGTTGCGTGATGATGGAAGAAAGGGTTTTGGTTTCAATTCGCGTCACGGTATGGCGCACTGCTTTAGATAGATACCCCCGTCTGCTGGTCACTTGTTTTTGGTCAGTGGCTACTAACATAATGAATGGAGTTTTATGGCGCTTCGCTCTTTGTACCGAGCATTGACATTGTCAGCAATCACTTGCTGCGGTACAACGACCAACGCCTTCCAAGGACATATGGAACTACAGTACCTCACTGAGCACAGCCGTGTCATCCTCATCTTTCTTCCAACCATCTACAACAACCCCAGCTTTCGCCGCTCCCAACCAAAGCACTTATCCACTCCAACTCCTCCAACCATGTTCTGCACAACCCTTCGCCGGCGCGCCTTCTTCGCCCCCCTCATCCCAACCCTCACATCGCCTACCGGGCTCAACCTCCGTGGTCAGTAAACCACACTCAGCGAACCAGACCGTCTACATTAAACACCACGCACACCGTACAATGCACTAACTCACTCGGTCTCAGAAACAATGCTCAGCACGCACGACCTCGCCATCCCCTTCACAACCACGGGCCCAACCAACAGCAATAGCAGCAGTAATCCACGCACACTAAGAGTGCTCCTGCTCTCAGCCAACGACACAGCAAACGGGGACGCGCTGAAGGCGGCAGTTGAGCGGATTGGACGCTTTGGCGGGATAGTGGGGGGCAGGGATTGCGTGGGGGTGTTTTGTCTAGGTGAGAGAGCGGAGGCCCAGTCGGTGGGGTTGAGGGCGTATTCAGCGCTGGTGAGGGAGCTTTTGGCGATGGGGGACGCGTGCGCTGTGCCGCTTTTGTTGGCGGCCGGGGTGGGGGGCTTGGAGGGGGTTTTGGGCGTGTTTGTGGGGGGGCTGTAGGGTTGTTGTGGTAGTGGTATACTGCTGGAGTGTATTTTTGGAACGCCTGGAAGGATTGCTTGCGTCAACTTTGCTGATTAGTAGCTTCTAGGTATGCAGTGCCCAAGTTGGCGATTTTCAGCTTATCGCAGTACATCACTCCCTGATCGGCAGCTCAGTTCCAGGGTGACACGGTGAGAGCTTGTGTCAACGACGTGCACCTGGATCAGAGATGAACGGTGGAGCGAGATCCACGACACCGGCCAACAGATCCTTAAGCCATATGTGTCGTCACGGCTCAGCTTACGTCTGCATGCTGACGGGTCGTAGCAATTTGTGTCGTGACAGACGTACTTGTAGGTGGTTATGGCAATGGCTCTCCGGATCTCTCAGGGCTCCTCCCTTCCGTGCCCGTGACGTCAAGCCCAAAGTACCGGGAAAACCTCGGCTCATTCATGTCATGAAAGCCGACCATCGGCCTCGACCAATGACAAGGCTCCGACACTGGTGCAGCAGCACAATCGAGACTCTGGTGCCCTGTGACACTCCCACAGCTCGAGCTGGAACGTGGAGTGTGTACATGACGCGCAGCCTGAGGCCTCTGGCGCCTGTCACCGGTTAAAAGAGGGCAACGGTCTTACTACTTTGGGCCGGGATCCCTAATCAAGGGACCCGGAGATTCCTCTGCGCCGAGGGCCGGGGTTAGTCCATGCGCGACTCTTAGGTTTCGCCAGAAGCTCGCTCGATCATCCAGCATCACTCTGCGCACACACACGTCTACTCGTCCAGCGGACAGCTTGCGCATGCCGAGCCCAGACGGACACCCAAGACACAGGCGGTGAACCTGCTCTACCGACTCGACCGTTCCTTTCACACGTCACGATCCTCACGACCACTTGCCCACACACGTCCCGCGTAACAAGCTATCCCACCGAGACACCCCATCCAAGCCCGCTTGTGGGGGCACATGTCACTCAAGACCTGCTTCAATAGTATTTCTCTATACGGAGTCGTTATCTAGGCCGACCTACCGCGCAAAGCACACCCCGTCGCCCTACGACTCCTGTCGCAAAGCCAATGAATCCGGCAAATCGGGAGAGCTGGCCGTCGTCGCAGGCCCAGGGAGGTGCGAATGGGCCCCAGAACAATGACCAGACGCAAGGTCAGGCGCCGCGTCAAATAGGTGGTTTTGGGTAAGCAACCCGTCGCGACGGACTTAAGCCACGGCCAGATGAAGTTTCTACAACACCTGGCCGGCTTTGTGGATATGCCGCTATTCTTTCCCGCCCTGAGTGTTCGCTGACTGGTCCTTTTTCGCAGCGCAAATGCTCCTACCCAGCAGGCGCCACAGCAAGCTCCCGCTCAGGGCAACGGTCCTCCTGTTCTGCCTCCTCCACCAGCTGGTAAGTTGCTGTCGCAAACCCGCACCGTTGGCTTCGAGTTGAACTGTCTAACGTCTGCTGTCAACAGCGCCGTTCTTCTCCCCTAACCAGTCTTCTGGCCATAACTTGCCTGGAATAGCTGGTTTGAATCAGTCCTCTCAGGCGTCGCCTGCGCAAGCCACGCAGAGGGCCCCACCAACATCCCAGGAATCGGCACCTGGCCCACAGTCGCATCAGACGGCGGGGCATGGCGCTGGATATTCACTGCCGGGCATTGGTCAGGCCATGCAGGCGCAACAAATGGGTCAGAACCAGCAAAGTGGTGACAACCGCGACCGCGAGGATAGACATGCCGAAGAGCTTGCCCTGCAAGCCGAACAACGCGAGCGCGAGATGAGAGATCGGCAACAACATGAACAGGCGCCTCATGAGAACCATGCAGGCACCATACATTTGCACCAGCCGGTTGCTGTGGGTCCGCAAGTGCGGGCTATGCATGGGCCGAACGGTATCCTAGGCAATGCTCAGCAAATAGGACCTAATTCTCTATCAAACTCTCTTGCCGCACCAAATGGCCCGGCGAGTATCTTCGCGCAAGGCCCAAGCCAACAGCAGGGCGAAAGTGGGGCGCGCATGCAGCACGTACAGGGTCCACAGGGCGGCCTGATGGTGCCGTTTGGTGGTCCTGGGATGCAGCCATCTTTGGCGATGGGACAAGGACAACAGCCTATACTTAACGTCAGTGCTTCCACGTTTGTTTTTGATGACTCATCTAGTGAGACCTAGATGGCGTTTGCTGACAATTTTGTTTATGTAGGACGCGTTAAGCTATTTGGACCAAGTCAAAGTCCAATTTCACGAGCATCCGGACGTGTATAACAAGTTTCTGGATATCATGAAAGATTTCAAAAGTGGAGCGTGAGTTCGCCTGGGTGACCTTTACTGACTAGTCCCGATGATTGACTGTTAACTGGCAGCATTGACACACCCGGCGTTATCGAGAGAGTCTCCACGTTATTTGCAGGACACCCCAACCTCATCCAGGGCTTTAACACATTCCTTCCTCCCGGCTACAAGATCGAGTGCGGTACCGGTGGTGACCCTAATGCTATCCGGGTTACCACGCCAATGGGAACGACTGTGTCTTCGATGCCGGTCCCCCGCCCGTTGTCCAATCCCCGCAGCGTACCTGTGAATGGTGAAGCCGCAGGCGCTGCTGAAAGGCCGTTTTACGAAGCCGCATCTAGAGGACCGGGCGCCAACTGGCCTCAACAGCAACAACAGCAACAGCAACAACAGTCTGGAACTGCCGCTCCGGAAGGTGTGTTTAGCCCTAGCCGACCTGTGGGTCAACCTCATTTCCCGCCTCAGCAAAGCCAAAGCAACCAGGGCCCGATATCCCCGGAGATGCAAGCCAGAGAGCAACAGGCTGCCATGACAGCCGCCGCTCTCGCCCATCAACAAGAGCAGAGAGGTGTGTCGCAACTGAGCAATGCCGTTTCAGCTGCTACGGGAGGTATTCTCAACAGACCTGACCTTATTTCGCCACCAGGTGGAGCACCGAATCAGCTGCCAGGCCAAGGTATGAACGGCATCGGTCATATGGGCCAGCAAGGCGGCGCGAATGGCGGCTTGGACAAGAGAGGTCCAGTCGAGTTCAATCACGCGATAAGCTACGTGAACAAGATCAAGGTGCGCCTCACTTCGTTTGGGTTTTGCTTTCACTCATTCACTCTTGACCATTCACCCTTGACCCATTCGGTCGTGCCCATTGACCCTCTACCCATTCACTTTCCCATTTTCACCGTTTCACCTTTCCATCCTTTAAAGGCTAACCCTCGCAGAACCGATTCGCGACTCAACCCGACATCTACAAACAATTCCTTGAGATCCTGCAGACCTACCAACGGGAGTCAAAACCAATCCAGGACGTCTACGCGCAGGTCACGCAGCTGTTCAACTCTGCACCTGACCTTCTCGAAGACTTCAAACAATTCCTTCCCGAGTCGGCTGCTCAACACCGTGCCGCTCAAGTCGCGCGTCAAGCCGCCGCTGAAGAACAATACATGTTCAGTAATCTTCGAGGCGAACAACCCGCAGGAACCCCTCAGATGCATCAAACACCTCGTAACGAGCAAGGCTCAGGCCGGTTGCCACCGGTGGGCAACTTCGCTCCCACACCGAGCGCGAACCGCGATAACAAGAGGAAGCGTGGTGAGAGACAAGGTACCGTGACTGGTGCTAACGCCATGCCAACTTCTATTCCGGTAGAGACTTCGGCTGTAAGAACTGGCTTCGCACATGGCCCAGGCGGCAGCAAACGTGCGAAGCAACAGCACGGCGGAAAGACGGTGGTTGCAGATGCACCTGCTGTTTCACCAACTCTCACTCCCGCTTTGCCGGAACCTTTACCACCAACAACCTCACTTGCTGCTACTCAGGATGAGCTTGCATTCTTCGACCGTGTGAAGAAATTCATCGGTAACAAGAACACCATGAACGAGTTCCTCAAGCTGTGTAACCTCTTCTCCCAAGACCTGATCGACAAGAACTTGCTCCTACACCGCGCTCAGAGCTTCATCGGCGGTAACCCCGAGTTGTACAACTGGTTCAGGAAATTCCTTGGTTACGACGGCAAGGACGAGCCAATGGAAAACCAGCCCAAGCCGCCTAGTGGCCGGGTTGCCTTGGCGAATTGCCGTGGTCTGGGTCCTAGCTACCGTCAACTCCCCCGCGCAGAAAAGATGCGCCCTTGTAGTGGTCGCGATGAGCTATGTCACTCTGTCCTCAACGACGAGTGGGCATCTCATCCTACCTGGGCTTCGGAAGACAGTGGCTTCGTCGCTCACCGTAAGAACCAGTATGAAGAGGGCCTTCATCGCATCGAGGAAGAACGTCACGACTATGACCACACAATCGAGGCTTGCATCCGCACCATTCAACAGCTTGAGCCAATCGCGCAACAGCTCCTCAACGCCACGGCTGACGAGAGGCTCGCTTTCAGTTTGCCTCCCAATCTAGGTGGACAGAGTGAAACGATCTACAAGCGTGTCATCTATAAGATCTACAACCGTGACCGCGGAAACCAGGTCATCGAGCAGCTCTTCCAGCACCCATACAATGTCATTCCAGTCTTGCTGAATAGGATGAAGCAAAAGCTGGAGGAGTGGAAGGCGGCCCAGCGCGAGTGGGAGAAGGTCTGGCGCGAGCAGACGCAGAGGATTTTCTGGAAATCATTGGATCACCAGAGCGCGAGCGCAAAGGCTGCTGACAAGCGTCAATTCCAGGCAAAGACGTTGCAGAATGAGATCCAAGTCAAGTTCGAGGAGCAGAAGCGCCAACGCGACGTCCAAGGTCTCTCTGTCCCTCGATATCAATTCGAATACAGCTTCGGCGACGAAAACGTCCTCCTAGATGCCTCTAGACTCCTCCTCGCGCATGCTGAACACAGCAACTCGGCCGACTCTCACCGTCTGTACGGCTTCATCAAGGAATTTGTCCCTCTCTTCTTTGGCCTCGACAACAGCAAATTCGAGCAGGGCATCGGCTCTCCTCAGTCCGAGTTCACCGACGATGAGATGCAGGGCATGGACGACTCGTCACACAAGGGCTACAAGGTCAACGGCAAGAAGAGCAATCTGCTTCGTGGTGTCCTTGACCCCGGTCGCAATGGACGTGGATCGAGGAAAGATGCCGATGAAAGCGTTGCATCTGTCAGTCGTGGCAGTACTCCCGAGGCTGCATCAGCAGCTGACGAGGAGATGGTCGAAGAGGCTGAGATACCTCCTGTCACCACTGCGGCTGGCAGTGCTGACAGATGGCTTGAGCATCCCAGTGGTGGCAACGTGATTGAGATCCAACAGGACGTCTCACCGGACACGCCTTACAAGCGGGACGAGTACAACATGTATTGCAATTTGCCGATATATTGTTTCTTCCGCATGTTTGTCATTCTGTACGAGCGTCTCTATAACCTCAAGCAGAACGAGGAACAGGTCCATCAGCTTGTCGAGCGCGCCCAGAAGAGCAAGCCAGCACTGGATCTCAACCTTATCGACAAACGCCCCGAGGACTTCTTCCGCGATAACTCGCCCACGGCAAACTACTATCAACAAGTTCTCGACTTGTTCATGGAGCAAATCAAGGGCGACCTTGAGATGCCGCAGATCGAGGAAACCCTCCGTCGCTACTACTTGCAGAGCGGTTGGCAGTTGTATTCGTTCGACAAACTCCTCAGCTCGCTGGTAAGGTTCGCTCTCGGCATGCTTGCCAGTGACACCAAGGACAAGACCTGGGACATCTATCAACTCTTCCGCAAGGACCGCTCTCAAGAGGAAACCACTCACGACAACGAGCTCAACTACCGTCGCACGGTCGAGAAGTACTCCAAGGATGGCGATGTCTATCGCATCTCTTTCGTAAGTGGACTATTACGTGCATGCTACGAAGGTTCAGTCGCTAACAAATCCCAGGATCAAAACCGCATGACGGCCCGCATAATGATCTTCAAGAAGGACGAGCCGACGTTCGACTTGCACACACAGAGCCTCGAGTCGCACTGGCGTGCCTACCTCTCCTCGTTTACCCGGCTAGCGCCCACCGAAGGCATCGACCATTCGCGCGTCAAGAAGGTCCTCCTCAGACGCGACGCGCCCGACGAAGACACGGAAGCCAACATCGCGCTGTCGATGCAAAAGTCGACGGAATCGCAGATCATCCGGGTCAGCCTGGAGAAGCTGCGACCGGTGTTCCAACCGGAGACATGCGAGTGGCTGGTGCAGGGCGAGAGGGTACGGAGCGGGGGCAAAGAGGGCCAGCTCGCAGCGGAGAAGGAGCGCGAGGAGCGCGACGCCCGCGCCAAGGAAAAGTGCGTCATGAACAACGGGTGGATGAAGGACCTGAGCAAGGACGTGGTGGATGCGCGCAAGCAGGAATTTTCGAGACTGATGAAAGATGGTGGTGGTGGCGAGGAGAGCAAAGAGAACGCCGCCGCTGCCGCTGCTACTGCTGCTACTGATGATGACGAGGCGAAGGAGGCGGAGGATGCGGAGATGACGGGCTGAAATGATGGCATGCCAGGTTTTGAAGATTGAATGCAGAGGCGATGATTCTGATCCTCGCCGCGAATGAACGACCTCTGGTGGTGGTGGTGGTGGTGTAAGTGGTACGGACATGGTTATGGACATGGTCTTGGAACATGGAACATCGAACATGGTTATAGGACTGACAGACGCGACGGGAAGAGAGGCTAGCTAGGTAGCTAGGCAGCGGATAGCGCTACAGTCAGTATAAGCGGGATCTGGTAACATACCTAGGTATAGTTGGAGGGGGCGAAGGCGCGTGGGTCGTGGGCGTTAGGACTGGTGCTGGGTGCTGGGTGCTGGGTGCTAGGGGGTGGGCGGAGTTGTAGGAATAAACTACTAGGAGTGCAGTACGTACCTACTTAGCTACCTAGAGATATTTTTTTTTGTGTTAGGGCGCCTGCAGGCGGCTTGCTGCGCTAAGGTACTTTCTTCTTTCCTTCCTCTTACTTCCTCTTCCTGCTCGGCTGCTTGGCTGGTTGGGTAGATGGGTGGGCGTGGTGGATGTTATGTTGCCTAGGAGTAGGAGTGGGTGTGGTGATGGGGCGCAATGACTGACTGACTGATACGGACTGATGGACTGATAAACTGATTGATTGATGGACTGGGAGGATGGACTGATGCGTGGCGGTGGCGGCTTGTATGTGGTTAATGTGTTGAGCAGCTGGGGGCTTGTGTTTTCTTTGCTTCTTTTTCTTTGATTTTCTCTTCTTTTCATTTTATTCTTTTCTTTCTTTCTTTCATTTTTTTTTT